GTGCTGTCCAGTATAGTATAAAAAATACATATAAATACATATCTACAAACTGTTTTTTAAATCGAAAAGTATAAAGAAAATGCCGGACACAATTAAAAAATTAATATTTCGTTATGGTGTACTTTCCTTTCCTTTCCGATCAACCATTCATTCGGTATTTCTGTTATACTTTTGGTCACTGGTGCTCTAATTTTTGTTCCTAATCATTATTTTCAAAATTACTGTTCCAAGCTTTAGTTATATATATATTTTTTAATTTAAAATGCTTTTTTGTATAAATTTTATACAGCCTTTCCGTTGATAAATATCTACCAAAAAAATTTCAAAATCATATTACAAACTTATTTCATTTATTCATAGGAACGAGTCTGCCGTTAGATTTTGTTTCACACTACACTTGCACTTAATTAACTATGTTTTTAATCAGTCATTGACCTTTCCCATTTAAATAGTCTTTTACTGAACATTATACGCAATCTTTAAATCATTTTACTTCCACAATCTTCCTTAGAAAACTAAAGACGGTTATAATTCCACTCAATTCTCGTCTTTCTTGATTATTCTTTGTCTAGAACTGCCATTTATATAAATATTTAATACTTAATTGAAGCGGTAGCCACACGCGAGCATTAGTATTCGAAATTACCTAGAGATAGGCGAAGACAATGCCGCCCGAAAGGTGGTAAGAATTATTAGAATTCTTTTTGGGGTAGCGAGCGAATTGCGCGGTAAGCGATTACCGTGATTTTCATTTCAATTTGGCGTGGTACATGTGAAAAATTTAAAGATTTGATAGCAGCAGCGAGCGTAAACACGCCAAGCACTCATACGCCTCACTGCATTTTCCCACACTTTGGCGTTAAATTCATGTTTTGTTTTTCTTCTTCTTCCCCTTCGGCACTTTTGCTTCGCTTAAACATGGCGCAAAAGTGGCAACAACATTGCAGTAAATGTCGCGTCGGCTTGTTTTATGTAATTAAACATTGACTCCCATTGAGTTGTTGCAAATTCATTCATACATAATTTTGCCGTTACATGCAAGTTTGAGTTAAGTGCTTGCATTCATCGTTGCGCTTTTTTGCATCTTCTTCTTAATATAGTTGTACAACAATTCTACGAATCTGAAGTGAATAATGAATATGTAATACGTGGCAACGCTGCTGTGCTTAAGTGCTCCATTCCCTCTTTTGTTGCGGATTTCGTGCAGGTTATCTCATGGCAGGACGAAAGCGGCGAATTGTATGCAACGTTGGATGAGCAAAAGGGCACTGGTATTCAGAAAATTTTTGTGCAAAAAAATACAACTTTGGCGAATGGAATTAGTGGTTTAGTTTAGCTCTTGTTGATCGATCAAGCGGTTATTTGAATAGAAAAAGTTGCTTGTTTAAATAAAGAAGTTCTCGTAGTACCAGGGTTCGGAAATCACCGTTAAAAATCAGTATTTTTTATACTTTTAGATCATTGCAAAATCGTTATATTTTTATTTTTTTTTTGATAAAAAATACACGTAAGGTTTGAATTTTTATTTTTTCGGTTAAATTCAGGTCGTTACTTGGTGATTTTTATTTTTTTATATAAAAAATAAGTGCCATGCATCAAAATGAGTACTTTGCATACGTGACTCTCAAGGATGCAACTGACAGTTGAGTAGACTGTGTGTGTTTGCATATAGGGCGTCAGATTGGCAACCTATGCTTCGCTGGACCCAACGAACGTTGCCCAACTCTCAACTTTTGACGCAATTAGGTCCGGCACTGCTGACAGTTATATTACCTTGCGTTTATACAAAACAAGACAATTGAGAATATATATTATTTTTCACATAGTTTGAGTAAAGTAAGCGTCCAGACAATAAATTGTCTTCGAAAGTTGGAAGAGAGTGAAGAAGACAATGAAAGAAGTGTGAATATATAAGTAAGAAAGTGTGAATGTATTGCAAAATTGACTTGTGTATACCCCGAGACGCGGTCATAAAGAACAGCTGATTTTTGTTTACAAACACTTCTCCTTCATTGTGGCGCCGTTCTACGCTCTTTTACGTCAACTCAGTTTCATCCTTGAGCGTCACGTACGCAAAGTACTCTTTCTGATGAGGTTATTGGTGGAATATATACGATACAGCTCAGAGTGAAGTGAAAAGTCAAAAATTCACACCGAAATAAACGCGGTGTCAAAGTGTTTTTTTTTATCACTTCACGATAACGCAGAACGGGAATTGACCCCCAGTCCTTTTATTAGGCATTCCAATAATCGAATAGTTGATTATCAACAAGAGTCTAAACTTTTTTACTGCAATATATCCTCACTTCCCAATCCACATTCATATTTCAACTTCACTTCGAACTTTTTTTTAATTTTCTGCAATATTTTTTCCTTTCCGTGTACATTTTCTCTCACTTTACATGTTTTACTTTCTATACTCCATCTTGAAAATTTCGTTAATTTTCAGTCGTCAATCAATACTATGAAGCCGAAGTCGTTTCCGAGTAGGTTATTAAAGGCAATACAGCAGTTTTAAAATGCACCATACCCAGTTTTGTAGCTGATTTTGTCAAAGTAGAAGCTTGGTTGTCCAGTGAGGGTGCAGAATTTCTACCTACCGATAATTTTGGTATATATTTATTGTCAAGAAATAAATACGAAAATATCATAATAAAAAATGCATTCTTATTTTTTTTGTGGCTTGGTGCGGATTCTAATTAACATGTTCTATTTTCCTATGGTTCCAGTCTATATTATTACTTTTCTTGCTATTTTGCTCTATTTTCGCAAGTTTTCAAATAATTTCTCTACACACTCCTACACACTTTTAGTTGTCAATCAATATTATGGCGCCGATATTCTAATGGAATATGTGATCAAGGGTAACGCAGCGGTACTCAAGTGTTCCATACCATCGTTTGTGGCGGATTTTGTGCGCGTCGAATCGTGGATCGATGAAGAGGGCAACGTTTTACGACACAGCGATAATTATGGTTGGCATTAGCGATTACTTAAAAAATTGCTAGTAGCGCAATAATTGCTTACTAATTTAAAAATAGTTTTCCTGTGATCCCGCAGTTACTCCTTAAAAATATATATTGTTTTACTATCCCACTTCTGAATTGATTCGCTATTTACATTGGTTTCGCTCATCTCTTTTGTAGTCGTTAATCAGTTCTATGAGGCTGAAATTATGACTGAGTATGTTATAAAAGGCAACGCCGCCGTGCTCAAGTGCTCCATACCTTCGTTTGTTGCCGATTTTGTGCGCGTTGAATCGTGGATCGATGAAGATGGCAATGCGTTGACGTTCTCCGATAATTATGGTTCGATTTATTTGCTCATATGTTTAAGCGGGTTTTGGTAGTCAAGATTTCATTAATTATACAGTTTCCTCAAATTTCCTTCCTAGCTTTCCGTTTTTCCAGATTTCTTTTTAATTTGTTCTGTTGCGTTGTTTTTTTTTTAACTTTTCACTTTTGTTTCAACAGTTGTCTCTCAATTTTACATAACCGAAGCAGAGAATGAATATGTAATCAAAGGCAATGCGGCGGTGGTGAAATGTAAAATACCCTCATTCGTTGCCGATTTTGTGCAGATCGAAGCTTGGGTCGATGAGGAAGGTGTGGAATTGTGGCGTAGCAATTCCTCGCAAGCTTATGGTATTTGCTTGAATGTCAAACTTTTTCGCTTAGTTGCGTGTATAATGTTCTCAAGTTTTTTTTTTATGTAGCTTCCCAACAAATCCCACGCAACTCTCTTTCATTCCTATTTTATAAAATGTTCTGTTCTTTTACTTTTTCGTATGTTATTCATTTAACAAATTCTTTCACGCATTCGCTTATCACGCAGTTGTCATTCAAAGTTATGAATCTGAAGCCGATAATGAGTATGTCATCCGCGGAAATTCGGTGGTAATGAAATGTGAAATTCCATCTTATGTAGCAGATTTTGTCTTTGTTGATCTATGGCTGGACTCTGAGGGCAGAAATTACTATCCAGGCAGCGATAAAGAAATTGGTATAGCGCAAATGTTTTGGCAATACTTACGAACGTTTCGCATGTTCCGACGTGTTTATTATAGCAAACTATTTCACTTCCTATTCATTTCATTTAATATTTTATGTTCTTACACGCTATTGGATTTCGTTTTTATTTAGTGGTACATCAGTTTTATCAAACGCGCGTAATTGATGAATTTGTTTTGCGTGGTAACTCTGCAACACTCAAATGCTTAGTGCCCTCGTTTGTGGCCGATTTCATAAATGTAGAATCGTGGGTGGATGAGGAGGGCGTTGAATTTGTGCGTACAAAAGGCGATGAAGTGATGGGTAATTTTTCTGAATGAAAACTAAAATGTTTATAAATAAAAAGTAGTCAGTAAAGCCGTTTAAACGTCGCTAAATCTTTTGAGCCCGTGCAATAAAAAATACCAGTACTTTTTCCAAGATTCTCTTCTCCTTTGCCTTAAAATGTCCTATCATCTGTGCGCCATTGCATTTTGTTTTAAAATTCTTTCCTTACATACATATCTTGTTTACAATTTCATGACTCCTGAATCCATTTGCTGTTACATTTCGTTTACAGTTGTCAAACAATTTTTTGAATCACAAGTTTATGATGAATACGTTATTAAGGGAAATGCCGCTATCTTTAAATGTCAAACACCATCTTTTGTCGCCGATCATATAGATATTGTCGACTGGGTTGACACTGAAGGTGGCACTTACACAAAAAACAGCGCTGGTACAGTATAGAGAACACATTTCGCTTTTAACAACTTTAAATTTCTGTATTATTCCACTTAAGTAGTTCGAAGGGAATTTCCTAGCTGCCATCAAAAATTTCCCGAAAGCCAATATGTGACACATATTTTTAATTTAATTTTTTAATATTTATTATTTTTACTACTTTCTTTATACGCCTTTTATGCCAAACGCCCTTCATTGTCTCTTTTATTATACTCCTCTTTTTCTACAATTTATTGCTGCATATGATGGCTATCAATACACACACAGTCGTTCCACAATCCTATACGGTAAATGTCATGGACGAGGCTGTTTTGCGCGGCAATAGCGCCATACTCAAATGTCATATACCAAGTTTTGTAGCGGATTTCATATCGGTCGCCTCATGGGTGGAAGATGAAGAACGCGAAATATTCACTACAAACGATGGCATCGGACACTTTGATAGCGGTAAATGGCGCTGAGGTTTTTAGTATTCAATATTCAATAGTTAATGAAAATGCATAATTTATTTCTGTTAAAAAATCCGTTCATTATCCTGTTACCACCAAACACACATACTATTTATTGTCCCGCAAACTATGAGTCTGCCGTCGCTTTGATCCATCTTGAAAGGGTTTGTCTAGGATCACTAGGTATTTCGCGTTTTCTTTCTGCTTTTTTCTCTTGCTTTATCTATTTTTGCTTATTTCATCTTCAATTGTTTTATCGAATCACAACTCCTATTTATCTTATTTTCCGTTTAAACGCTAATTTTTTACTTTTTCGTTGCATTTATTTTGCTCCTTCCCATTTCCTCAATCCCCCCGTTGTCATCCATTTACGCCATGGGCCCATCCAGCCTGCCAGTACCCGAGGAAATCCCCCTTCATGTAGTAAAAATTTGTAGATTTTGTAATTATAATGTAAATATTTGTAACAAAAATGCTAATAACCAGAAGATAAACTATTACTTAAAATATAAACTGAAAACGTATAGCAAACTGTAAAAAAATATTCGTATGTATATACATGTTTGGCATTTAAAAACAATTATGTATAAAAACGTGAATGAATGCACTTTATTGGCATTTTTGTTGGTCGCTTCAAAGCATGCTGGCGACGTATATATACATGTATGTAAGCTTTGCAAAATAATCGCTTCATTTGCTTTGAACAAATTTATTTTAATCAAAAGTAGGAAAAAATTACTTAAATTCAACCTCCATCGTCTTCTGATTGATTGATTGAGCTCTTAACGTGTATGCGGTACTTTATGCGAGGGCAAACTCACCTATCGAAATTTTCGAGTTCCTGTCATCCCTATTATAAACATGGCGAAAAATGTAAAATCATTTTGGTTGTGTATTTTTATAATATAAGTACAATAAATAGTGAACAAAGGTAAAAATTAGTAAATAAAACACTTTGTAACGTAAACGCATTAAAGTTAAGAAAAGTGAATAACTGCAATTTGTGTGGTGGAGATTTGTGTTAAATTAAGTAAAAGTTGGGCGCCATTTTACAAGGAATCGTTAGATGCGTTTCCGGCAAGTAAAGCAAGGTTACGGATGTAGCTGGTGTTCCGCCTTATTAAAGAATTTCCTAATGCTAAAATGAAATATTCTTAAAATTACTTTACTGACTATTTACTTTCACCGCGGTTGGAAGATATACAATCGGAGAAATAAGGGCAAATGTTTAGTTATTTGTACAACGATTCTGCGGTGAGGGCGGAGAGGGAGGTGGGCGTGGCCTCCCAAACCTGCTCTAAACGAAAGGATGGACCGCGTTTTATGAAAAGTCACCCCTGTCCCCAACACCACCCAAACCTCTTGGGGAGCTGTTTGAAAATAGGGGAATTGGATTTTATGCAAAAGGATTATAATCCTCACTAAGAAGAATTCTTCTTTCTGTGTTGCCGAAGAATAGGGGCTGAACACCTTTTGCAGAGATATTTCGTAGATGTTTCTTGTTTGACAGCTTTGCTCGGAAACTTGCCAAAAAATTCCATATTTCAAACAGAAAATCGTTGCTCAAATAACTAAACCGTACCCCACATAAGTTTCAATACTAATGCCAATTATATCCGAGCGCTGGCGACATATTCCAGAATCTAGATAGTTTTCTAATGTGTTTTTTAAGTTTTTTTTTTTAGTTTTTTTACGTATTTTTTGACGCCTGGACATCAGACTACATCCTCAAATTCCTACGAAAGCTCATGAAAAAGATCTTTAAGTTACAAAAATTACAAATTTGTTCAAAGTACAAAAGTTTAGTGTATTCTAATTCAAGCTTGTCTGCTATATTATATATTTTAAATTTTTTGAAGAACTGTGTTGCATTTGAATTTGACTACATTAAAAAGGAAGCGCAAAAAAACTAAATAATAAAAAAAGTTCCCGGTGAAATTAATGTTTTTTTTTTGTGTAAAATCGACACAAGTAGCTACGGTGTCTACCTACATAAATATAATTCACAAAAATGCACACAGTTTTTCAATGGAATACTAACTCTAAATGCATGCTTAATAAAACAAGCTAGCCATAAATACGAGCAAGTTTTAAAAAATTATCTACATAAGTAATTTTAATAAAATACTGCAAATTGTTAGAAAAAAGCAATCTCACACTAGTTTGAATTCTTCAATGTAATACATCAAGGCAATTCATACAAGGTGATAGCGGCAGGACAAAAACAAAAAACTACACTAACAAATTCAACGCACGACGACAATCAGAACACAAAAAATGTACAGCAAACACATCATTTTAACAAACATCTCAATTCGCCTTGAAATCAGCTGCTGTAGTATTACCACTTTGTATGAATTCGACTTGTAATAAATCATTTTTAAAATTGGATGTAAAAGCTTTCTCGTTATTTAAAGTGTAGTTTTTTATGTGTTTGTGTAAAAATTCTGCAACGCCTTTGAATTGCATTCTAATGTTTTTTATTTATTTCATTCTCTCTCTAAACCTACACACGCTCACACATGCGCTATGTGTGCAAAATTAGATGGCAAATATTTGGTATTGCCCTCTGGTGAACTGCATATTCGCGAAGTTGGACCTGAGGATGGCTACAAGAGCTATCAGTGCCGCACCAAGCATCGTCTGACTGGTGAAACACGTTTGAGCGCAACCAAGGGACGCTTGGTGATTACAGGTAAGTTGTAAGATTTAAGTGTATTTGCATTAATGAATACAAATTTAGATTAAACATTTTTTTTAAATATATTGCACAGTTAAAATGTTATATACATATATGTACATATGTACATATTTATTCAAAATGCATGACCAAAAATGACGAAAAAATATATATTTAACAAAATAAGAAAAACAAAAAAAAAAACGAATTCAAAAATGGAGTGAATCTAAGCATGTATGTAAATTGATTTTAACTGTGAAATATTTTGCAAAAATTTAGCTCTCACTTTAATTATGTACATTCATATGTATTCTGCTGAAATATAGAAAGGCCCTAACTGACATTTAACAGTAGAGCAAAACTAAAACACACACATTTCTCTGCTTGGGGCTTTTTGAAATGTGTCATAAAATCGTTGAGTTTTAATTCGCGGTTCCAAAATTTTTAAAGAGAATGTGTTTGATTGAGTATAAGCTACTTATTTAGAAAACCAAAAAATCGTATTTCGAAAAAAATGCCTGTTAGGGGACCTCTCTACATTTCATCAACGATCTTTGTGTACTTACACACGTTCATTAATATACAGAATCATTTCAAAATTTAAGATTAGTGGGAAAACACAATCAAAGTGTGTTCAATTCATACATTTCGTATACTAAAAGACAGATGGAAAGACACGTATCTTCGCCATCTGTTACGCTGAACATTTTCTCCTTATCAAGCTTATAAATTGTATGATGAAATCTCTATATTATTAAACGTGTGATATGTATATATATATAAAAAGATATTAATACTTGCAATCGTGAACTTATAACTTCACTAAACTACATTATTTGCAAAATCAAAAATGTGCAATCAAAATATTCATGCTGAAACCAACAATTCACAACTTTAATTATGCTTTTATAATGGTTGAGAAAAAAATTCTGTTTATGAGAGCTAAATTTTTACATAAAACAACCAAAAAAGCATTTTACCATTAAAATACATAGTATTTCGAAACGTTGAACCAAAATTTGAAATTCTGTTAAAAAAATTTAACAGACAGTTTAAAAAGCGTTTCGAAAATTTCGAGATTTTGGAAAAGAATTTTACCATTAAAATACTATGTGTATTTCGATGCGTTGAAAACACAAAATTTGAAATTCTGTTTCGAGATTTTGGATACTTTTTCCACTTGAGTGAGCTATAACTTTAATTAAAATGCGTAAATATGTTCATCCATATATAAAAACTTAGTTGACGACAGAAAACATTTGATTTATTTTCTAATTATTTTGGTAAAATGTTTTTTTTTAGAAAAAAAATGTATCTGCGAACATTCGATAAAACTTAAAATTTTTACTTTTGTGCTTATAAAAGTAAAAAATAAAGGAAATATGGCGCAAACTACATATTGCGTTTAAATAAATTATTAAATACGAGCACATATAACATATGTATGTGTGTATATTTTTGGTGCAAGAAATTACCAAGAAATTCGAAATTTTAATCATTACTCCAAAAACTTGTTAAAAACAAAATAAAAATTATGAATATTCCCCGAATGCTTTGAAACACCGCCATTAAAATGTTGAAGTTCGGAAATATATATTTTTACTTTATCGTTTTATCAACTACTTTATAAAAATTTACAAAATTGAATGTGTAATGTCCTCAGATACTTTTTTTAAATGATTTGAAGCAAAAATAGCAAAATATCAGAGTTAAACTTTAAAATATATTTTCTTAGAAAAAATTACTGAAAAATGCAATAACTTTTAAATAAAAAAAAATTTACAATATGAATTAAAACAAAAATTGAATGATTTGTTGGTAAAGAAGTGTGGAATTTCCGCTAATGTCAACAATTTTGAAATAATTTTACTTGGAAAAAGATAAGCTGAATATAATTTTTTTACATAATGTATCTTTTATTTAAAAATGCTATTTTTGCTTGCTAGTGTAGAGAAAAAAATTATTGAGCTGTCAAAATTTGAATTTTAATAAAATTTTCTGCAAAAAGTTTCGACAGCTCAATAGCAAATTTTAGCAATAAGTTATATGAAATATAAATAGCAACAAATTTTTGATAAAGAAATACAAATAAAAAAGCAATCAAAAAGATTTTTTGCTTAAAATCTTTTTCTTTGCTACGAAAACGATGTGGAAAATTAAAAAAAATGTCAATATGTATTACTAAAGGAGTTATTATACACATTTGTTGTGCGAATAATACTTACAAATATTAAACCGGGAACCGTAACCATTTGCTCTGAAGAAGATTAAATCGTACATTTAAAAACAAAATTAGTAGTTTTTGTGTCTTAAAAATGTAAAACAAAATATATTAAACTTAAAAATCGCGCACATCAAAAAATTGTTGCTAACTTAGCCTGCATTGAAAACTGCCTGAATGTTGGGATAGGGTAAACTGTTGCGCGATCTAATGCAAATTCAAAAATTAAAATTAAATTTTAATTGTAAATTTAAATACTTAAAATTTGAAACGCAAAAACATTAAAATCCCAAAAAAAAACTGTGCTTGACTTGAGCTTGAATACATGGAGCGTTTTGACGTACATAAATACTTGTAACTGTAAATTTTGCCACACTCTAAAGCTATCAAGTTATTTCTTGAGCCACTGCACGCTAAGCGCAATAATGACGAAATGTCAAAATAATAAAACACTTGAAATTTGTTCTCTAATCATAAGCGAACATTTGCTAAAATGTAAGGTAAGTGTGCTTACATAATTAATTTTAAATTAATATACTTAACTATAATGTCAATTAATTAGTATTTCTCTACAAAAGACAGCCAGAAGTTTTTCAAACCATAAAAAATACAATTAAAAATTCATTTTACAGAACCGGTTGGCAGGGTTTCACCGAAATTTCCCACTGTGCAAACGAGCAGCAGCTTTACGGCGAACGCGCAAGCGGGCGTCACGCTTCTATGCCCAGCGCAAGCCTACCCGGCGCCAATGTTTAGGTGGGCTTTAGTTGATTAGCTACGAGTATTAGTTGAATAACTTAATTTAGGTATTTACGTACATTTTAGCGTCAGACGCGCCCAAGCTGTCATTGCTAAGCGCGTTTAAAATCATTGTCGTGTGAGTACTCCACTTCAGCAATCAAAACAGTTTTCGTACCTTTGCTATTTTCTCTGACTGTAGATACTTATCGTTTGGTTATGTTTTATTGTTTTATTCTAGAACCCGTTGGTAGCGTTGGGCCGCGCCTACTTTCTGGTAATGATATAAAGGTTTTAATCACACCTGGTGGCAAACCTGTGACGCTACTTTGTCCCGCGCAAGCTTATCCGGTGCCAATTTTTCGGTAAGCGCATATACATACTAAAATCTTTCGGTTTTAATCTCTTGAAGTAGCGTTGGCCCTTTAACCCTAGAATTATTGCCTTCCCCGTCGAGTCGATAACGTGCTTGCTTTATGTATGAAAAAATAGGAATTTGATTTTAGGGTTAAACCTATTCCAACATCTGGGCTTTATTATTGAAAATCTCCGCCTGCTTTGCAGAAGAATTCATAACTTTTAATTGATCTCATGTAGAACCTGTTGGTAGCGTTGGTCCTCGCCTTACCTCCGGTGATGAGTCGCGTATTGTAAAAATTGATTCAGATAAAAGTGCTACACTGCTTTGTCCAGCTCAAGCCTATCCGGTGCCTTTATTTAGGTAAAATTTTGAAATTAATAATTTTAAATTGTATCAAGCCCCCGTTTTATCAAGTTATATTAAGTGGAATACAAATTTATAAATGTATACTATCTCCAGTTTACGTGTATCCCAACATCAGTTTCAAGCAACTTAAATCTTATAGAAATCGATGTTGGCAGTAATTAGCGCTTCCTTTACATTTTAGAACCTGTTGGCTCTGTAAGTCCCAAAATTTTCGCCAATGAAGAAAACATCAAAATCATACGCGTGCCATTGATGCATAGTGTGACCCTACTCTGTCCAGCTCAAGCATATCCAGTTCCAGTTTTTAGGTAGGAAAAAAAGTCTCGTCTTGAGCTAAAACTGTGTGCTTTTATAAGTGAATTCGCGGAGCTATGCCAACATTCAGCCGAATTTCAATTCAATCGCTCAGAGTTTTACCTTTAATGACAGGCATCTTTACATTTGTTTAGAGCCAGTTGGCAGCGTTAGTCCCAAAATGACTGCCGGTGATGATGCTATCAAAATACCAAAAGTAGCAAGCGGACAAAGCGCTACATTGATGTGCCCAGCGCAAGCATATCCGGTGCCATTGTTTAGGTAAAACAAATTTAGTTAAAAAAATATGCAGAAGAATTATTATTTTTTTTAAATGTGTATATCTTGAACAGCATTAATATTCTATCCCAACAAAACTTACAAGGCCTACTACTTAAGCTTTTCGCCGCTCTTCATTAATTCTATATTCTTTTATAATCTTAATCTAGAGCCTGTTGGTAGCGTGGCACCAAAATTGACCTCGGGTGATGATTCTCGTACCGTTAAAGTACATGGAGGACAAAGTGTAACGCTTTTGTGCCCAGCTCAAGCGTTTCCAGTGCCGCTTTTTAGGTAATATTTTCGTTACCTCATAAACTTGGCGTTACTTCAGCATGTTCCGATATCCAGGCAGTTTTCTGACTACAAAAATATTATTACACAAATACTCAATTATTTGTATATAATTTTTAGAACCTGTCGGCAGTGTTAGCCCCAAAATCAATGCTGGCGATGATTATAATCATTTAAAGTCGAAAGGCGGTCGTAGTTTAAGTTTACTTTGTCCAGCGCAAGCATATCCCACGCCAGTTTTCAGGTATTCCACTTCTGAATTATTGTGAAACTTACTTATTATTGACATTGAAATGATTTAACAATATTATCGAAAGTCGATAACTATCAACAGCGCTACTTCATGTTTATTGTGTATTCACACTTGAAAATCCAAGAGCAAAAGGCAGTTTTCAATTACTTTTTCTAAAATAACATTTTCTGCTGTTGAAGAATAGAAAGCCATTTCCTTTTTTCAATTTC